CACACCAGCTTTCATTCTGGAAGTCTTCCTCATCTAAATCAACGTGGTCGCATAGACCAAACCTTGCAAAGGCCTTTAACTGTCTCATGTACTCATATACCACAACCATCAGAAAATCCTACAGGCTCTACTTTCAAAATATTTCGCCGCTCACCACCTGCATTACCTAAACAACTGAAAACTTGACCTAGGCCACTATCACCTTATCCTCCTGAGGGGTGTCCCTACTTCTACAGTCAGAAGGACACAACAGCCAGAAGGACCTTTTAAAACCAAAATATGCTCTGCTCCTCCCACATTCAAAACCCTCCCCAATCACTGGTTTCCCATCTCTGAGCAAAAAGTAAATTCCTCAAGTGTTCTACAAAGCTGTCAGGTCTGCCTCTCTCACCTTGTTTTTTCCTCCTCACCCCACTTACTTCCACCACTGCATGCATGCAGGACTTTTTGCCCCTCTGGGAACTTGCTGTGGGTTAACTCCAGGCTTATGGTATCTACATTCTCCTTCCACTCTCTGCCTTGAAAACTCTTCGCCTGACTCTTTTCCCCATATTATGTGCAAGGCTCACCTACTCAGGTTTTCATTTTCCACTCCATGCCCCACTCTCCCATACACAGGTGTTTGTCCATTTTGTTCTTTGTTATAGCTCCAGTTTCTGGACAACTGTCTGACACACAATAAAGGCTCAGTAATTATATGTGGAAGGATGGAATGACCAAATAGTTATGCTTACTACATAAGTTTATAGAACCCAGAAATGGGTAGGACTTCGAAAAGTCTTGAACTAAGTTAAGCATATGAAGATGGCAATCCTATTCCACTGGACACACCAGGCAGCAGTGGCTCTTAAATGAGGAGGGAACCCTGGAGGCAGTAACAAGTCCACTAGCCAAAAAAAGGACCCACCCACATTCTCTCTCATGCCATAAAAGTCAATGTTTGCAGACCTCAGTGTGGCCCACTAATGCCCCAAGGCAGATCTGCTATAAGTGGCTGTCACTAGCTCAAATTGTAAATGTTGCTTTGTTCAAAAGGACATTTCCAAGGTCTCTGAAACTTCAAAGGCCTGAACTTGTACATTATGGTTAATTTTCAGTTATGCCATGTTTATTTAGTTAAGCATATGGATCACACCCATGTTTCTTAACGCATAACAAAATATGAAAATGCTTCTGAAACGAGGAAGATGTTACATGCTGTGAGGCTCAATAATTACTTTACTTAGTGTTAAGGAAAGTAGCAGCTAGATATGAACCAGGTACTGTTCTATGGCTGTATATAGATCATCCCACTTAGGCCTCCCAAAGAAGGGAGAGTTATTATGAATTCAATTTACAAGTAGAGAGTTAAATAACTCCTCCAAGAACACATTGCTAATGAGTGGCAGAGATGGGATATGAACCCAGACAAGTTGGCCCCAGAACCCAGTTTCAGGATTTATGTCACCATGAAATAGTGCCTCTTGGTTCTTCTTATCCAACACCAATGGCAAACAGGGTCAATAGAAAACTCTACATGATAAATGCCATACATTTATTTGTAAAAGAAATAAAAAATATCTCACATGTCAACTAGAGTTAGAAGGTCCAACAAGAAGAAGTACAAATCAGTAGTCACAAAACAGTCATGGAGATTTAGAGTATAGCACAGAGTATGTAGTCAATATTATTGTAATGGCTGTGTAGTGCCAGATGGGTGCTAGAGTAATCGGGGGAACGCTTCATAAATTATATAAATGTCTAATCATTGTACTGTATACCTGAAACTAATATAGGAAAAAGATATATTCTCAGAAAAAAACATAAATCTCCAAATTCAATAAATGTCATGGAAAAAGATATATTCTCAGAAAAAAAAACATAAATCTCCAAATTCAATAAATGTCATAGGCACTAAAAAAAAGGTACAAGAAGGAAAATATTTGACATTAATATTTATCAAAATATTAGCAGAAAACAGATACAAAGCAAACAGAATAGTTTTTTCTTAAAATGGCGGGAAAGTCAAAGAACAGTAAGAATAGACAAAATGCAGTATTAGTTAAAAAAGGCTTTGCAAAAGTAAACTTTAAGAAACCCTCTTGAAAAGTAACAAGCAAATAAAGTCTTATAAATATAGCTACTCATAAAAAGTGGTTTCCTTTGCAAACATTTGACTGTGTACAAGTCAGTCAGAACAACTAAATGTTAGCATATTTCTTTAAATCCTAATGTTTTGAGGAGAAAATATGGCAAAATAAATTGAAAACAGAATTCTGTAAATATTCGAGAGGCCTTTATCAGGAGTAGGAGGAATTTCTTAGTCTGGCATCTAATGAATGCATCCTGATAAAAAGGGATACAGGAATGAAGGGAATTTTAGACAAACAGATAACTTACAAAAAGATTAATTCCCTACTATCTCAGATTTCCCAAAGACTAAAACTAATAAAAAAGGACTTGGTAAGGTAAGACTGAAAAATCAAACACTTTCTACAAATATCCTAAATCATATACATAGTACTTTACACTTTTTATATGGCATATACATGAGTTCATCTTATTAAATGTTTAATTAACTACGGCCATGCCTCCCTGAACACCCCGATCTCGTCTGATCTCAGAAGCTTAAGCAGGGTCAGGCTTGGTTGGTACTTGGATGGGGGACCACCTAGGAAGACCAGGTGCTGTAGGTGTAAACAAACAAACAAACAAGTAAGTAAATAAATGTTTGATTAAATGGTTCATTAATGCGCATATTATTTTGAAGAGACAAAATCTTGCAATAAGCAAAGTTAGATTTCTGTGTTCCCTTCAGCAAGTTTTAAATTGGGAGGGGGGAGAGTCTAAATGTTCCTCTTCTTAAGAATTTTGTCCCTTTTTTTGGCTTAGTTTTGCCTTTTGAAGAGCTTTTTAAAATGGGTGTCAACCATCAACCGTGTACCTCCAGGCCGCTTCCATTAGCTGACCAACTCCGCCAGAGCCAAAGGCCTATGCATACCCTTCTTCACCGCCATCTTTAGAGGATCAAATCCTGAGCCCATCTCACTCTCAAATCACTCCTCCCTCCATCCATCACCCACCCACTCACTTTCAGGCTAAACAGGCTACCTCACAAAGGAACACTAAGCTTGTCTGATAAATTATTTCATACTTAAGGGTAAAAGCTAGTGACTCTCTCTCCTCTCAGCCCTCAAACCAGGGTTCTCATCTTCTCCAGCCAATATAAATAACTGTCCCTAAGGACTCTACTTCAGTGATGGGGATTTGGGGTCAGTATGGACAAGCGATATGACTTGGGATCAGACCTGGTGCCACACTCCATGAAGAGCACTCTTTGTGTGAGTAGCTGCCCACCTGCCACCACAGTACTTCTGGATCCAGCTTTAGCATAGGTGGAGAATGATCCATTCCTCTTTTGTTCTCCCAACCCCCTCTGGTATAGGCCACCCACAGCAGGCTGCAGAACTGCAAGCACGGGATAAAGTCCCCAGAACTGGATAAGCAGCCCCAAGCAATGGCCTAGAACCACAGACCTTGCAACAACCTAATTCCTAAGGTTTGAGTCCTCAAGGGGAAAATGAGAAGTCTGGACTCCATTTCCCTAAGGTTCTCTCTACTCTCACAATCAAGACCCAAGATTCAGCTCGGCTTCTCAGCCCACCCAGAATAAAGTCACAGGAGAATGTGCTAAGTGTATACAATTACATGGCAAATTTGATTGTCATGTGGGGTCCTAGTTTTGAGTTGTGTGGGGCTGACATTGCAGGCTGCTTGCTGCTGCTGCTTAAGGTTACTACTACATCAGTGTTCTACAGAAAAATAGACAAAACACTTTATGTTCTCTCACAGAACATACTTAAGACAACAGAAAATAAGATGGTAACACATCTAAGGCACAAGGAGCAATTCTCTTTTATCTTTGGAAATGAATTACTTCAACGGACTACAAACTTTTGCTGTGTGAGATGTTCTGGTAGGCCAGGGAGTCTAAGGCAGAGAATTACAGCCATTCCTGATTTTTATTCCCCTCCTCCACATTGGGGGATTTTAAAACAAATGAAAGAAGGCATTATTTCAGCTTAAGGCATAAGCATAAGTGATATAAGAACAAAGGAGGTATTATTATTACATTAAACGTTAGGGAGGAAATGTGCTCACTGATAACTAAGTTACTGTCTTATACAACTACATTAGCATTTGCTTTTTGCAAACTTCTAGGTCATTATTTACAATTTATATCTAAGACTGAGTTAAAAATGTCCAGCTAGTGAGAAGGTCATTAAGGGAAGGAAGGGAAAAAAAACAGTCTTCGGAAAACAGAACAAAGTACACAGAGAGGAAGGCACTGCATACCTCAGGGATCGGTAGAACGTGTGCCCTTCTCCACCTGTAAAGTGACTTAACAACCACATTTCACTCTGGCGGCAGAGTACTACCTCCTGACAAAATCCTCCTATTTGAAAGACCCCACACGCCCCCCAAAAATCCACATTAACAAAAGAATATGAAACATACTGCCACAGGCCAGTGTCTTGGGCTTCTTGCCTAAGAAGTTTGCTTTCTGCAAGGAGAGGGAAAAAAAAAACACTCTAACAACAGCGGCTTGTACAGTGAGTGATCAGCCCTCCTGCTTGTTGGCACACTTCCCCAACTAGCAGTTCCAGCGGCTGAGCCCTGAGCCCATTCAAGAATTCCATCTCTTAGGAAGTGGTTCAAATATAGTCATTTGATCTTTCAGCATTTGCAAATGCACCTGCTAAGCAACAAGTCTGACAGCCATAACCCCAGTTCCTTCTGATCCGTCCTCACCAGTAATTTTATGGGTTATTTCAAATTTGGACTAGATGAGATGCAAAGCACATAGTACCTCCGCCAAACACTTCAGCTGCTGCAGGAGGTTAGGCTCCACACGCGGAGTCATTCCTTTCTCCCCGCACTTCCCTGTCACTTTTTTTTTTTTCCTGTAGCAGGTAAGAGGTTTTTGTTTTGTTCTCTGGCTTTTCAATGCCAGGGCTTACCTCGAGGTGGCTTCCTCTCCTCCCTTGCCATGGCTCTCCCCCACGGCCTGGTCCTTGCCGCTGTGGTGGTAAGCAGTTAGCACAACTCCCTGGGAACTGGAGAGCCAGCTCATGGTGAGAGAAGGGGCATAATTTCTGCGATTCTAACACGGAGAAAGGGAATGAAGTTCCAGGCTCGCAAAGGAAACTCTGCTCATTAGCATCGGCCAGCTCCTCCTCCGGAGGCCAGCGATTCGCACGGGAGGGGCGGGACCTCCCCCACTGAAGGGCTGCCTGGCTCTCCAATGAGAGGAGCTATGACTCAGAGTATTGTTTCTGCCCGGGGCCATTCCAGTTTGAGTGGCTGTAGTTAGGGGACAGGGTGGGAGGTGACTTGTTGCCACCACCCTGGAGAAATTCAGATCCGATTAAACTGCCAGGTTGTAGACTGCTCTCATGAATTTAAGTACAAGATGTCTTGGCTAAAAAACAATGGGTTACTGAGGAGCCTTTTTTTTACCTTCCCAATTCTTGTTTCCATCTGATAATTTCTGCCACTTCATGTAACATGAGTAAGGACATTTCTTAACCCCTTCACGTTCAGTGTTAAAATTAACCATAGCAGAAACCAATAAACCTGCCGCAAAGCAGCAATTACAGGTCATAAGAAAGGCTTTATCTCGTGTCCAGTTAAAAACACTCTCATAAAAATGATTGTGTGCCTTGGAATGTGGTTTTCTTTCACATAAAAGCCAATGCCAAATTTACCTCTTACTTTCATCAAACACCTTTTATTATCAAAAAGCGGGCGGGGGGCACATCTACTAACACTCTGCTAAATGTGATTGCTAAGATTAAAAAAAAAAGTACTTAGCGTTTGTTAATCATCTACTATATTCCAGGCTCTCTCTGTGACACGTGTTTTACATGTATTCTCTCATTCAATTGAGTTCAACTCCACTGTATCTATCTCTAACAGGGGAGCACACATACCCTACAACATAGGTATCATTATCACCTGCATTTTGAAAAGTATAAGAAAAGTGAAGCTGAGGGATAGGATAAGTAATTTGTCTAAGATAACACAATTGTTCTGTGCCAGAAGCTAGATTTGAACAGAATTCTAGACTAAATTCCATTCTTTTTAACCAGCATGCTGTTCTTTGTCTTGTAAATTAAGAAACCAGCTCAAAAGTTATGAAAAAATACGAGATGTTTCTGTTCTTTCTCCCCTAAAAAATTCTAGTGTCTTCTATATACCTACCAGCCTGAATTGAAGAGGGGTTTTTTTTGTTGCTGTTACAGTTTATGATCTATCAGTCTACCTAAAATTCCTCATAAGCAAGTTTTCAATTTCATCACTCCATAAGCATGCTAGTTATATTTTTTCATTATTTAAAATAACATGCGAAATAAGTACTTAATTCATACTTACACACTTAAAGTATTTTATATTTATTTTTTATCCTCTCTCTCACAGCATAGCAAACTTTTACAAAATTCTTCCTTAAAAAAGATTATTGTAGCTCTTTACCTCCCCCTCAAAACTAGTTGTTCGATCTTTGCGTTTCCACCTCGGTAGGGCTCTACCCACTGTCTCCTTTCTATCCCCATTGCCCAAGCCCCTCCACACTCTATGTCTTAGCGCCAATATTACAACAGCCCTTTTAGCTCATTTCCTTGCCTTCTCCTCCAAATTATTTTGCATTTACACACACTTACAGCTCTAATGATGTCTCTCCTTGCTTAAAAAACTTTCACTGCCTCCCAGTTGCTGACAGAACCACTTCCAAACTTTTGAGTAGGCCACTGAGCATTCTCGCTACCCCACCCACCCAAGTCTTTCCATTCCATCTGTCAGATACCGTTCCCTCTGGTCCCACTGTCATTCTTTTCTCTTCCTTTCCATAATGGGCCTTCAGTAAATGTTGGATGAATCAAATGAATTTAATGTGTCCTTAGAAAGAATACTAAATTTTTAAATTAAAATGGGTAATATTACACAAATGGTTTCCATGTACATACCAGTGTGAACCTGTGATGAAATGTTCACCAGTTCAGGCAAAATGAAAAATACAGGAAGAGAGGCAAAATGTAAGTAGATTGGAGTATATGAGTTCTGTCTTTTTAATATGTTTATGTGAAAAATGATTAGTGCTCCCCACATTCACACTTCTTTTTCTATGTAGCTGCTCTGAAATGCAAAAGTACAGGAATCCCTACCTTGTTCAATTATTGGTGGTAGGCCATACACTCTACCTCTTGGTAACTCTTTCCTTCTCTTTTTATTTGCATTCCAATCCCACTCCTTCTTTTCTCTTACTTTCCTGGACCTTTTTTTTTTTTTTTTGTCTTCATCTTTTATTTTTCTTCTATTTTTATTTCCTCCTTTGCTATATCCTCAGTCTGTCCATGTCACACATGCCCATTGACAGCCATGAATGCTGCCAACTCTAATGAGATAATTCAATTAAAAGGGGGATTTTGTCTACTTTTAACCAAAATTATTAAGTTATGCCTTTGACCATTTATACCCTCTCCACTTGTTTAATAATAAATTATAATATGCAGATTAAAATATAACTATTTTACAGGTTCAAATTAATATTTGGATATACAATAACCATGATTTTTAATTTTTGAGGCACAAAATAACATGTACTCTAAGTTGACTTACATAGCTTAATACATAAAATTTGAATTCTACTAATTTAATTTTCAGGTATATGAAAATCCTCTGGATTCCTTTCTTTTCATAAGTCTTATTGTTAATGGTCTGAGGATATTGTCTGCCACAGGCAGACAACGGGTAGGATGTGCCCTAGTGTACGTAGCCTCACATATAGGCTCAAGGAGATTAAAGATGGTTTCAGAATTTCCTTATGACCATCATGGAAGCGGACTTTACTACATGATATGTTCCCATGAAAAGCTCTTCTTATTTCACACCCCAAACCCTACCAAGATTTAGCTAGAGTTCATCTCTTATACCTCATCGCCCTTCCTCATAGAGATATTTTTTATATACATATGTATATTAGTCTATCTAAAAATACACATATGTATTCTTTTACTCTCTTCTACAAGCACTTTAAACAAACATCAAGAATCTAACATCCCTGAAGATGTTAATGTTCTAGGCTACTGATTGCATGCCAAACACTTTCCTGTTATGAAACATCTTACAAAGTAATTAAATAACATCCAGAAGTTTAAACATTCATTTCATTCATTCCCTTTAAATGAGGTGTACTAGCTGACTTAGGGAGGAAAAGGGAAGCTGTAATTTATGCACTCAAGTAGGTTGCTAAAAACAGGGTGGAGATAGTACTGTAGCCTCAGACAATTTGGCAACTGTAATCAAAAATAATGAAAAAAGATTTTAGTTTCAAAGAGGTTATTAACTGGTTTTCATATTTTGATTTGGGAACCTATTCAGTAATATGGAATTATATTTTCAGAGTACCTTAATTGCAATGGAATTAACCTATTTATCAAATTTTTTCTCTTTTTTTTTTTTGGTCTCTTTACATGGAATGATTATTTTAAATAATGAAAAAATATAACTAGTATGCTTATGGAATGATAAAATCGAAAACTTGTTTTTGAGGAATTTTAGGTAGACTAATAGATCATAAAGTATAACAGCAACAAAGGAGGATGTGTACACTCAAACAAACCTATAAGATGACTGAAAGCCTGTGTAGGGACACAAGGCCACGTGAAAGCTGACCTTTCAACTGGCAAAGTTAAACTCAATTTACAATAATATATTTTAACAAGAACTTGAATAAATTAATCATCAACTCTGAAGTTAAAGTTTTACATAGGTGATAGCCTAGATTAATACAGTAGCATTAACCAATGAAGAAGGAGTGTTCTAGTATCTCCTACCTGATATTTTATCAAGCCTTTGCATGAATAATTCTTGTAAGCTTGCAAGAAAGCCAGTTCTGTACTGGGAAACTGTGACTGAAAATTATTCTGTATACAGCATCTAATCCTACTGCCTTGGAAATTGCAACATTGTTACTAATTCTGCCTCTGGAGCAACAAGGAAAAAGCCCTTTTCCCTCTCTCTAGACAGCTCTAAAAATTTCTGTACTCTCAAAGTTATTTTTTTAACTGTTCCTCCATGGAGAAAATATTAGCTATGCCTGTGATCATTTATAACTGCTATTGACAGAGGCTAATTTAGGCTTCTTGACAAACATCTAGTAAGATCTTTCTTACAATTAAAGAGTTTACTACCAATAATTAATAATAGCTAATATTTGAATGTTTACTCTTTCCTAGACATGGTACACACAGTCTCATTTAATTGTCACAACGACCCTGAGACAGATATTAGAATTAAGCCCACTTTAGAGATGAGGAATATGAGGTCACCCGCCTAGTAGATGGCAGAACCAGGACATGTAAATCTAGATTAATATGACCATTGAGCCTGAGCTCTTAAATATTACAGGTTACCGTTGTACTGGAACTGATTCTATTTTGTTTATTTAAAAAATCTACATAAATATTTAATGAGATAAAATAATCTACAGCAAATCTAAAGTGTTTAACCAAATGGAATATTGATCCAAATCTAATACCTATGGAGATTAACATGGAGACAGGCACAAATGTTATTTTCTTTCTTAACACTCTGAAACTTCTTTTTTATGTCAGATTACTAGGGGAGTGTGGCATGCGACTCAACAGGTCATCATCATTATGCCATCATATCTAAAATTGTTACCGCTGATAGAAATAAAAGTATTCTGGCCATTATGATTATAAACATCCTTTAAAAAATATATTAGGCAAAGACAGATCTAGGTTTATGGTCTCTGAAGCTTACTGAGTTTCTTAGATACAGGCCCTGGAAGGAGCCTTGCAAGAGTGAAATACTGAAGGCTTAACTTCATTTAGCTTCATGGCAAATCTCTCTTATGTCAAAACTAGTGAAGGCAAGAAAGTGCAATGACTCTAACCTTTTCTTTGGCTTTCTCTTCATTGCTGAATACAATGGGACTCATGTTGCAAACCCTTGCATCTGGAAGCATAAAGTTAGGAAGAGTGAAGTGTATTTTGGAGGAAGGTACATTCTGCAATGGTAGTATTTTGCCTATAAAGACTCAATTTGAAACATCTGAAATTGTATCAATATTTAGATAAGCTCCAATACAAAAGCCTTGTCCTGAAGTAGACTACAAAAGGATTCTGATCTCCTCGTCAAGTAAAAGAAGCCACCGTGATTGGAGAAAACCTGGTGA